TAATTTTGACTTTTCTTTGGTGTCTTCATGAGCTAGAGGGCTCCAGGCAGGTTGAAGAGAGTGAGAACTAACACAGATATTTGTTGCTTGCCCTTCTAAAAGCTTTGGATCTCCACAGATGGATTTATTATTGGCATTTAGTAAACAAGAGAGTTCCCAAGCTTGAGCTGTTGGCCAGGTAGTCCTGTCACCTTGCCATGAAACAAGCACCAAGGCTTCTCTTGGCCTCCCTGGGTCATATTCAAGTCACTCTTGCCCTTCAGCTCCTTAAGCTGGTGTGAAAATTGCAATTATTGGTGCACATTGAATAGCTGCACGTCCTCCTCATTTGCATGCAGGATTGCTGGATGGATGTGCAAATTTGGATTAACATAAACTTTTTGCCAAAGACACAGTTGGGAATACAAATAATCTATGGGCTGTCTTAGGGAAATTGGCCAGATTTGATTATTTATAACTTCATCAATGGAACTTGTGCTGCGTGCTCGTTCCTTGAGTCCAAGAAGAAACTCAACTGAAGTTAATCAGTGCAGCTCCATTGAGATCCTCAGAGTTTTACTGATTTACAGCTGCTGACAGGATCACTCCATTGCAGATGGAAGGAGTCTCACAGGAATGGGAAAAAATAAAGACAGAAAAGAGAAAAATGGAACAACCCAGATGACTGAGCATGTGCAGAACTGGATTTATCTTCCCACACTTCCATCTTGCTGACCCGAGTTATAAAGTTTTCATTTTTATTTGCTTTAATAGGTTTTAACAGACCCAACTTAACATTGATTCCATTAACTTGGAACATTTTGGAGACTTTCATTGCTTGCTTGAAAATTGTATGGGGCAGAGCCTGGCAATATGGAATCCAGGCTATAAGGAGAGGGAATTACTGAGAAAAATTGTGTTTATGGATCTACTTCTCTAAAATTTGCCATGGTATTGGGATGTCCACGTGCTCAATGCCTGTTTGTCAAGATAGGGGCCCTTTTGGATCATCCTATGTGTCTTTACAGCTATAACTACTTACTAGATGTGACTAAAATGATGTTACAGCAGTTTACTTTTCTCTCTGCTTCTTGTAGGGGCCACCTGGTCGCCCAGGTCTTCCAGGAGCAGATGGTTTACCAGGACCACCAGGGACAATGCTTATGTTGCCTGTAAGTACAAGCATAATTAAAAAAGCATTTAAATGAATTGAGCTTCTTGGCTTTGCTACTACTTAGCTCCTGTTCTTGCAAGTCTCCTCTCTCTTTCACACCAAGGGCATGTTTTCCTCAGTGTGACAGATGCAGCTGAATGGCTCCTCTTGTAAGTTTACTTTGTGAAAAGTGGTGTCACTTTTTCCACTGGTGAAAACCACAGGGCCAGGTAGGTTAGAATTTCCAGAAGCAATGATTTAGCTGAAGTGTTTCTGACTGGGCATGGTGTTGGAGAGCCCAAGTCATGAAGAAGCAACTGGAGACACCCTCAAGGGCACAATTTCCAGGCAGAACACTCCCTCCTACAGTGAGGGACCTCTAAAAGCTCTTCAAGCAGGTTCCAAAACTGTAAGCACCTGAATGAACTGGTTTCTTTTGACTAGTAATTAATTTTCATTGTTTTATTTTCCTGCTACATGAAGCTAGCAAGTACTAATTCAGCCTTCTTAGTCCTGGGATGCTAAGGGAATGGTTCTATTTTGTCTGCTTTGATGTGAGAGAGCCCTAAGGAGAGCAGCTGCTGGAAATGAGGGGATAGGTACCAAAGGGACAGAGACTCCAGTGAAAAACCACAGCACTCTTGAACAGGCTCCAAATGGTTGGTGATCCTTGGATAGATTCCTGGCAGGGTGCCTAGGACAGCCTGGACCCAAGTGCTTCACATGGAGCTTAGCTGGCCACTACAATACATTTGTTGGTCCCTACTTGGCCTATTTATTATCAGTCTAAATAAATCTCTTTGAATCTGCTTGCCAAGTCCACGTGGTCATAGACCTAGCACTGACCAAGTGAAATGAAGACTGACATGGAGGTGGAAGAGCCATCCATGTAGGTTCTGCAGCCTGGAGAGTCCTTCTTCCCAAACCCCAAACACACCTGCAATTCAGGCAGGAGAAAGGGGTGTCCTAGAAAAAGGGCTTGAAGCTGTTGGGGATGGAAGAGGCAGGAGAAAACATTAAACTTCTTAACTTTCAAGTTTAAGAAAATAAAACATTAATGCTTGGAGGTTTTTTTTAACTTTTTTTTGGTTTTACTTTGTGTGCTGAAGGATCCTGGCTTGAGCAATAGGCTGAACTCTGTTCTTTGAAGCATTCTGCCCCTCTTGAGGAACACAGCCTTTGTTCTGGGGCAAGCAGGCAGCTACAGCCAAATAAGCTGGTTCAACCCCATCTCTGGGGGTCTCCTGGCCCACAGCAGCTGCACAGGGACTCTCAGCCCTGTGAGAGCTTTGCATTCAGTTTGGAGTGGTGGTGTGGGAGGGCCTTAGAGCTCAGAGCCTACAATCCCTCTTCCTGTGCCTTGCTTTGAGCTGGCAGAATCTGCTGTGGGGATGTGGAGGTGGGGAACGGTTGGGTTGTGCCCATGAGCTGGGTGACCTGGGGGTGTGATAGGTGGTTCACAGGGTGGTCTGGAAGGACAGGGATGCAGTTGGGTCAGTCGTGCTGAACAGAGTTGTTTAGGAGTCATGCTGGTGTGAGGATAGAGGGACAGCAACCCTGTGACCTTCTTTCTCCACCTTGTTCCTCCCAGTTCCGCTTTAGTGGAGGAGGAGATGCTGGCTCTAAAGGACCTCTTGTTTCAGCCCAGGAGGCCCAAGCCCAAGCCATCCTGCAGCAGGCCAGGGTAAGTGAAGGGTGGTGGGGATGTCTCTTGCAGCAGGTGCCCAAGGAAGAGGAGGAGGACCAGAATAAACGTGTCAGAGGAGACGTCGTCATACCTGGACTGTCCAGGGGGCTGGTGGTGGTACCCACCTCTCATCTGAGATGGCATTGCTTCTGTGGCTGGAGGTGATGACATCTGGATGACTTGGCCATTTACTAATGGCCAGCAATAGCCTAGGCCCTAGAAACATGGGTTTAAACTGCCTACAGGCCTTCTGCTGGTGCTGGCAGACCTCGACCTGTTGCCTTCAGTAGCATTTTCTGGCTATACTGATGGTTTTGAGAGCCTGTGTGTTGTGGTACGTGCTGTAGGGTTTTTCTTTCTGTTCTTTTTTGGTTAATTTGATGTTTTTTTCCCCAGTAAATGGTAATAATTACATGCATGTCACAGCTACAAGCTGTTCCCAGCTCCACGAATCTCCACAGGCAATCTGCAGTTTTCTTTAATGTATTTATTTGGAAACACATGATGACTATCCATGAAATGTTGGGTTTTTTTCCCTTGGATGACCTTTTTCACTGATGATCCAATAACCCCTAGCAGTGTTTATCACCTAGACTTGCTGATGAAATAAATCAGCCATGCACACTCCCTGTACAACTCCTGTTCCCTGCCTAGATGAGCACCTGAGTGTGTAAGGCTCCATCCTCAACTCTTCAAAATAAGACTTAATTTCTAGCCAGTACAGCTTGGAAATTTTTCTTCTATTTGTGCTTGTGTCAAGTTACATTTGATCATCCATGTGCTGAAAGCAGAGATGGGAGGGGCACTACAGCAGAAAGAACCCACGTGAGGACCCCACAAGTGCCACCCTGCTTGTGTTTGCCCCAAATCTTGCCCAGAAGGGACCAAATTCTGGCTGTAAACACACCCTGCTGAGAAGGGGAAAATAGAAGATGGTTTAGAGAGGCTGTTGGCAAAGAGACACAGCTTTGGGAGCATGGCTCCTCTCCTTGCCACATGCAGTCACCCAAGGACAGAGCTTTGGTGTGCTCCTCAAGTCTGAAGCCCACATCTGGCTGCAGCTGGGATACGTGGCTCGGATGTAGCTGGTCTGTTGTTCACAGCTCTCAGGGGTTGCTTCAGCACAGAGGTTTTTTGGGGGCTGGTCTGCTGCAATAGGCTAAAAAGGCAATTTATTCCACCCATGAATGAAATAAAGTCTATTGGGGTCTTCACCTTGCTGAGTGACACATGCCCCTTGTAGGTTTATAATGAGGGTGTTGGCTTAGCTGGGGCTCTTCTGGTTTCCATCCAATTCCCCTTTTACAAAGGAGGTAGATTTTATACATATTCAGGGAGAGTACAGGGCCCTGCTGCCATCAGCCACTGCATTTTCCTGCCCATTAACCTTGCTCTGTGTATAATATTGGTGGATTATGTTTCTGGTGTTGCCTTGTCAGTCTTCATTTCAAGGCTGCCTACAGTTTTTCCATCAGCATTTTATTTTTCTGGGAAATAAGGGTTTTGACCAGATGAACATTTCATGAGGAGCATCTGCCTTCTCAGACTCTATGTTTTTGTTCTTTTCTTTTTCTAGCTGTTGAAAATTGTGAACTGCTATGAAAGAAACAAAGAACCTCCCCTCACTCAAAGTCCCTTTTCCCTGGGTTTTTTTTTTTAGTTTTCAGGTTTGGGGAAAAATTTTTAAAGACAAACAAATCCTGGGTGACTTTTGCACTGTGGATGAAAAGTTAAATATTTCTATAAAGGGAATTTATTAAAAATTATTTCTTAGTTAATGTCAATGTATTATCAGATGATTTTAGCTGAACCCCCTGATACTACAGCAAAAAAAGGAAAAAAAAAACCACTTTTTTTTTTGTGGGAACATTACAGGCTGTGGCAGGAATGGAAAAGGAGTCCTGCAGGGAGGGAGGATATCTTCCTTCCTTATTTGGGATATAGTTTTCTTGTTATCATTGTTGTTAATTGCATTATTAGTTTGATTTATTCCCTTAAAATTTGGCTTTTATTAGACACTGAACATTGTCCCAGCCAGCAGCATTTCAGAGCTTCTCCTTTTTTAATGGGGTGTTGTAAAAAGATGCCATATAATCTAGGATTTGGGCAATATTTATGCCATTCCAAGCGCAATCACGGGGAGATTTTAATTACTGGAGTACACAGATAATTAAAACTCTGTTAAAACCTTGAATTGTCACAAGGGAACAAATTGTCCGAGTGATGTTTTAAAGTGTGGACCAGCCCCATTACCCAGCATGGAAATTACTGCCTTAATGCATGGTTATGTGACTCCTTAATTATTGAGCTAAAATCCCCTCGTTGCACATAGAATTGTCATTCTGTTTGCAGGATATTAAATGCTAACCTTAAAAAAAAGGAAACATTTCCTCCAAAACTGAACTCTTAGGCTCGTAAAGAAAAAAAAATCTTCCTAAACTAAACTAGGATCACAAAAATATGTGAATAAAACCCCCTAGCCTGTCCAGGCAAAGTTTTAACATTTACCTACAATAGTTTATTGCCAAAAATGTCCATTTTATTGTGTCTCTGTGTGATGATGCAAAAGGGGATGTGGTCAAGACAAAGGGTAATGTTTTTAAACTAAAGGAGGGGAGATTTAGACTCCAGTGTAAGGAGGAAATAAGGAAGAAAATTTTTATTATGAGGGTGGTGAGACACTGGCACAAGTTGCCCAGAGAGGTGGTTGATGCCCCATCCCTGGAACCATCCCAGGGGAGGTTGGCCGGGGCTCTGAGCAACCTGCTCTAGCTGTAGACATCCCTGCTCCCTGCAGGGATTTTGGACTAGCTGACCTTGAAAGGTCCCTTCCCACCCAAACCATTGTATGATGGTGGCTTTGTCCTGTTGTGGCAACAAAGCAGAGACACCAACTGACCAACATTTCTCTTTCTGTTCCAGCTGGCACTGAGAGGACCAGCAGGTCCAATGGGGCTGACAGGGCGACCAGGCCCCATGGTAAGTGGGTGGGTGAGCAAGGATGGAGCAGACCCCTCTGGTGCCAGCTCCATGCATGCTCTGGGTCACCTGCATGAATTGCTCTTTCCTAACAAGCTATGAACCTTTCCTCTGGTTCTTTTGTGGAAAAATGTACTAAACCACTTTCTCTGTCCAAAGGGACCCCCAGGCAGTGGAGGATTAAAGGGAGAAGCTGGAGAAATGGGGCCTCAGGTGAGTATGGGCAAATTGGGCAATGGGTAGAGATGAAGGTGTGGAGCAGCCCATCATGCTTTAGAGGCTGTTGTGAAGGAGTGATTCAGTGCTGGCTGAAAGTAGGACAGTGTGGGAACATCTGTTTTGCATATAAAGTATCCTCAAGTATCTAAATGCAGACTCAGGGCATAATTTTAAGCCAAGAGTGTAGAATTCTGCAGGTGGTAGTCCTCTCCTGCAGACATCTGGGGAGGAGTCCTGTAAATATGAGAGAGGTTGGAGCATGGGGAGTTCACTAATGCTCAGGAAATTGTTCTTCCAACCCCTCAGTCCTGCATGAAGGGGAAGTTCCCATTTTCTGATGGTGGGGGAAGTGTTTTGTCTCCACCACGTGGAGCTGCTTGCAGGGCAAAGCTTCCCTGTGGATCAACAGGGATTCCTGTCCAGAGATGCTCAGTCCTGAGCCTTTCCTGTGTATTTTGAACCACGGGCTCTGCTCGAGGGCTTCAGGTCCCATTTTTGTGGAGGTGATGTGTGATTCCAGGAGGCACTGGGTCTGTCTGTCATACCCTTGGGTGGTGACATTTCTTCCTTTCTCCTTGATGCCTTGCAGGGTCCACGAGGCATCCAGGGTCCTCCTGGTCCAGCAGGAAAACCAGGCCGGAGGGTGAGTGTCCTGGGAGCTGCCTGGATGACTGCATTAACTCCACTTTCTGCTAGAAATCATTTCTGCTGCCAATTAATTTCTGAGAGCTGAGAACGTTGCACAAGAGCAGGCTGCTGGCCAGCTAGTGGCTCGTCCAGGACCTCTCCATCCATCTGGGCAGATGCAAACCAGGATGAGTTAAAAGCTGGGTGGTGTGGGGAGAGCTGCAAGTCCATGCTTTCCACTCTTTTGTCTTTTTGGGGGGTTTTTTTTTTTGGTGGCATTGAGGTTGTAGCTGCATAAACGCTCCAGGCTGGTTTGGACAGTCCCCAAGTCTCAGTAGCACACGAGGAGAATCCAGTCCATGGAGGGTTTCTGGTGCTGGTATAATTTCTGCACACTTGCTCTGTCAACATCCCCAATGCTGATTTTTATTTCACTCCATCCTCTGGCTGGTCGTGATTCAACTTGCCAGAGGAAGAAACAAGAAAGTCTTTTGTGTGACCCACTTCTGTCTGTCTTAAAAAAAAAACAAACTCATTTCAATTTGCAGACATCTTCATTAGCATATCTTAAAATGTGCTGGAAGGGAATTATTTCAAATTAAAATCAATGCTCGTGTCCCAGCATCCCATGTAGTGAAGCAACTTGGCTCCTCTTGGTCTCCCACCCCTCATTAGCACCAGGCTGTGCCCGGGATGCTGCTTCAAAACCAGAGCAGCTCTTCTCCCTGCCAAGGGAAGCTGCTCCCCAGGCAGAGAGCTCCCACTGAAATAAAGCTTCACCCAGCCACAGACCCAGGAGCAGATGTCCCTGTGCTCCTGCCTCACCCTTTGTGTTTGACTCTGCTTCTCTCCATTGCAGGGCCGAGCTGGCAGCGATGGTGCCCGGGGAATGCCAGGCCAGACAGGCCCAAAGGTAATGCCACGTGTTCCTGTGCCTTTGGAATCTGCTTTTTTAGCCAGAATGAACTTTGAGGGACCCTTGGCAGAAGGAGCTCCTCGCTTGGAGGAGGTCGTAGAAACGAGCCAGTGACTCCTGTGAAGTCGTGGGCTCTGTGAGAGAGGGAAGCTAAACACACACCTCAAGGCAGAAATCTTTTCTCTTCTCCTCCTTTTCTTATTTATTTTTTTCTTTGCATGCAAATTTTCTAACTCTCTGGATCCTCTTAAGAATGAAATATGCTCCCTTGGCTGCAGTTGTAGAACAAATACTTTGGAATGCCAATTATGAAAAACAAACATGAATGAGCAGTTGGAAACATCCTGAAATATAACTAACAAAAAAATACCTATTAACTGGAGGAGGAAATGTAGAAGGCGTGGTGAGGAATTTTAATGTCCTTGTGTTTTTATTTGAGACAAAATCCCTTCATTCAGCTGTGATCTGCTGGAATTATCAAGTAAGAAAGGGGCTGTTCCACTGAAATTGAATGCAGGGAAGTTTGCTCAGGGAATCAGGTATTAGAAGGTTTAAGTACTTTACTGTGTAGATACTTAAAGCTGGAAGAGATGGAGGGTTTGATACAGAGACTGAAGACTGCAAATCATTTATCCAGTGAAGTGCTTTAACGAGCATCAACTGCCCTCCAAGGAGTGGATGCCAGGGAAGAAGGGAAAACAGAGGAAAGAGCAGTGCTGGGAAGGAGATGATCTGCTGTGAGCAGGCAGAGCAATGCCCCAGGACCTGCCAAAAGGGAGCACCTTGGCCAGGCCAGTCTGTCCTTCCTCAGCTGTAATCAGCTTTGCTTTCCTTGTTTGTAGGTAGAGGATTTGTGGAAGGGAGGAGCTTGATGCTGCTTTCACATATCATTAGAATGTGGAAGTACAAGTGGCTTCAGCCCTGTACAGAGAAAAAGACTTCCCTGTCTGCTGGGTGCTCACTAATTTCTGCCCTGTGTGTTAGGAGGTGTCACCCATGATTTACAAGCACCCCTGTGTCTTCTCT